AGAGAGAGAGAGAGGAGAGAGAGAGAAGGGGGGGGGGGGAGTTCTAAACATGGATGACACTCGCGGGAGCTGTGACAGAGCCCCGGGGGACGTTCACCGTTCCATGACAGCGACGGCGCGCCTTCTTCTTCTGCTTCTCTTCCGTCGTCTGCCTCTCCTTCGTCTTCTCACGACTTTATCCGTACTGCTGACGCCACCGTTGCTGCTCGCGCCCCTGCGACGTCGATCTCGGAACAATTGCGAGGTGTACGGCGGCATTCGGCTCGATTGGGAGCATCGCGGATCGTGACAATCCACCAGCAGCCGCGAATCGCCGATCCATTTTCCGTGGCAGGTCGAATTCGTCGAGCGACTGCGCCGATTGCTGCTACCGGCGATGTCAGGCGACAGCTTCCATCTACCGATCCCCACGTACTTGTCCAAGCTGTCGTTACTGGGACGCTCCACGCAGATTCGCGAACCTGCGGTTCAATCCCTCATCTCGATTTTGCATACGATAAAAATGAAATTTTAATAATACGCTTGATACGAATTATTTTTTTCTCTTCGGACTCGTAACGTACATTCTTAATTCTTCTAGCTTTTTTTTTAACATATCTTGCTCTAAGGAAGTTCGAAAGTTTGTAATTATATGCTTATTTGCTTTGGTTAAATATTTGTTACTAATAATTTTTTTAATAATTTTTTGACGTCATAGATACGTACAAAATATCAAAGTAATTTGCGTTGTTTTAATAATTCTAACAAGAGGAGCAGAATAATTAGATCAGACAGAAACATGGCGGCTAATTTAGCGGCGATACTAGCGAAGATAATAAGTAAGCCATCATCAAAATAACTTGCTTTCACCCGCAGATTTCCGCGCTTCGTGGCTTATCTGCTTTAGATATGTCGCCGGTAGGAAACAACCGTTATCTCCACCACCGCATCCACTTCATCCGGTCGATTCCTTCGCGATAACAGCCGTCGTAGAGCAGCGTCGCGGGAGCTACGCTCTAATTTACATGACGTTACGTCGCGCAGCCGTGGTACACGTTAATTGAGACTAGATCGAGTCGCTTCATTTCTACGTTGGCGGCGCGATTCATCATTATGCGAATTTCGTATTCAGATTTCGCGGAGTTTAGATTCCGTTAAAAGCATCGTCTTATTGCGATTTTCAGTAAAGGATCCCGTTCCGGCGAAGATGACGAAATTTAGCGAAAAGTAATTTGATTTTGATCACGTGACACAGACAAAACATTTATCATGTACTTTGTACGTCATTAAGTTACATCGTGAAAACAATTGTAATGATACATGTCTCATGGAGCGTAACTACATTATACGTTTCAGTAAACGTTCGGAGTTACTTCTTAGTAAGCGCGCACGAAACGTTGCTTTTAATGGTAACCATTTTTTTTTTTAAAGTTTGATACTTTCTTTTTAGTACACATTTATTAACGTATCTTTGACGTGACAATCTTTCGTGTTTCAGGCGATGTAAATGAGAATATCAAAAAGTTGGAATTAATATCGGAAGTTTGAAACTCGCTAGGCACGCGGGCTGAGAGGAATCTTGCTTTTATCATAATGTCAGGCGGCTAAGAGGAGGATACTTTTGCGGAACGATAATTTTTCGCTCGAAGCGTAATCCTGAGTTTTACATACCGCCACGGAGATGCGAGCCGTTTTTCGCAAGGAGACAAGTCTATTGTCTCTTCGAAGCATTATGGTTACAAAAACTTGAACGCGCGGGGCAAGGACTTAACCGCGGAAAAGAATGGCCGGTATGCGGAACATCCGCCGTTGTTTTTCCTCCTTCTCAGTTGCAATATATACTCGGTTTTTATAAGCTCCACAGTGTTTCACTAAGCATCTGATATTGTTCGTTCTTAGCGCAGAGATACAGCCCAAAGTTTCTGATTTGCCTCAACGTTTCAAGAAGCGCGTTACATAAGATTAACTTAATAAAACTTAATAACGATATCTTATTAAGTTTTTTATTTCAGTAGGGATGATTTATGATTTATAACTTAATAAAAACAAATTAAAAATTGAAAATATATATATGTCAAATGTTACATTTTGCTGCTATTAAGATACAATTAATTTTATTAATTAATTTGTTAAAATGTCCCTCTGAAATGTCACTCTGTTCAAATTTCTTATCAAAATTTCTGCTCAAACATCCCTTGACAATAAATTTCCGAATGAAATAAAACTTTCACTCTCGATCAAGATTAGGATCGATTATCGCGACGCGAGAATACTTATAATACGAACCTTCGGAGAGCAGATCCGAAATTTTGCTGCAACCCCGCGAGACCCGCACAACGGTGAAAGCGATGCAGCTGCCTCTGAAACGTGTGTAATAATATTTTTTATATTAAACATAAACCGAAACTCGGAACAAAGTGTGCACGTTCCCTCGTTCGTACGTTCCCTCGTTAGCTACACGTACTACACGCGTCGTATGACGGAACCCTTTGGGTTTCGATGCTCGCTGGCTTGTAACTTGCTTTACTCGCACGACACAAAGTCACAAGGGAGGCTCGATACTGCGACGTGATGTTTGCTGCGTGTTTTGTAGCAGATCGGAGCATGTGTCAAACTAGATCCTCGACACATCGGCGATTCTGTCTTGGTTAGAGCGACGCGAGATTAAAAATGCATCCCCCGAGAGGTATCCCTCTCGCCAAGCGGAGGAAGCTTTTAATGGAATTGAATCAATGGATGCTTGATCAAGGGGGGGGGGGCGTCGAGGGGTAACGAACTTTGAAAATTAAGGGCGTCAACTCATCAGTCACGCGCGAACGCTCCGCGCCATTAATAATGCATACAAAATGCAATTGAAGATTATTAATTGTACCATTTGACGGCGAAATATGATGACGACGGTATGGAGTAAGATATAATAAATGCATTACACGTTAAATACATTAGGCGACATCGCATTAGATAGCTAATAATAGAGAAATCTGCCACGTCTGTTACTTATTCAATCGAGTTTAACTTGATTTTCGTAATTTGATGCGCAGAAATAGAAGGTGTCCATACCGGTAAACGACAATATTTAGCAATATGTTTATCACGCGAAACGAATAATAATTTTGCGCTTTAATTTTCCCACAAATCCGCCGATATTTCGTCTATTTTTGCCCCGCATCAATCGAGAGAGAGCGGAAAAGACGTTGTTTCTGCTGCACGAATTGGGAACATGTGCGGCAAATCGCATTTCGCGCGAACTCCAAGACTAAAAGGCGAAGGTTTGACCTACCTTTTATCGACGGTCCTATCCTTGATCCTTACATCCGTACTGTTGCCGTCGCCCGGAAAAAGCGCAAGAAGCGTCACACCTGCGGCAAATGAAACGTAATCGCCTAGGACCGAGCAACGGTAGACAGACGTCAAGAATTTCACGTCGCGGTAGATACAATCGAAGATAACCCGCTCTTCTCACTCTCTGGAACGGGAAATACTCGACAAATGTCAGACCATCGTGTTTTTACAGAAACTCGAAAAAGGAAGAGTATAAAAAAAAATAATCCCTCTTTCGTTCCGACTTTTCCCGATGTAATTTATTTCTCAATTAATCATGCAACAATTGTCGTAATAATTATTACGCGAGAAAAGTTACCGTCTGATTATTTTAAAGCTCCTGTTCATTCACCTGTTCATTATCTTACATTATCTTAAATTATGACGTCAGAAAATGCAAATGATAAAAATTCTTGCAATAGATATTAAAATGGAATATTTTAATAAAGTAACACTTACAATAGAAGAGACTTGTAAAATATACCGAAAACTTTTCTTTTAGTTCATGAATTAATAAACAACACAATGTATCTGGAAATGAATTATGCATAAACGAAATAAACTAAATTCACGGTCGTAACTGTCAAATTAATAATATATAAAATAAATATGATTTAATTCTTCTCCGAGAAAAGACAGTTTCGATATATTTATGAGTCGTATATTTTATGAGTCTATTTTATTCTGTTCTATTAATTGCAAATGTTGTTT